CACTGCCCAAATTAGCTGAAATCGCATATCTCCGGACCTACTAGACCAATTTCAACCAAACTTAGTACATAAGCTTATCCTGACTGTCCTATGTTACGTTGCGTAATCGGACTACAACCGCGCCTACTTCCCATACAGTTTTAAATTCCATATGATTTTTTCACTTTCCAGTACACAAATCAATTACCAATATATTCTAATAAAGCTTTGCACAAATAGTGTCATTGAGGTATACCATTTCGAATTTAAAATTGACCAACTCGAACTACAACTGTTCAAGCCCCCATATACCGTATACGTGCAACCCATTGCATATGGCTGGCTTTTTGCCGAAAATATCGATCAATCTGTGAGATATATAATTGAAGTTTGGGAAAAATGCTTCTTTGATAATATTACACCCTTGTGTCAAAACTGTTATGAAACGGATCGATACTTCCTTTAGCTTCCATATGCTTACCTAATATAAAGATTTTCAAACTTCGAAATTGAGAGTGCGGATTTTTTCTAATAATAGTGTATTTTTGTGCCTAATATTCATAAAATCGGACGAAACCCTTTTTTTGATATTCAGGATTCTGAAACATCCAGTCGGTTTGACTCCATAGACGAATGTGTTCAAAGGAAAAAGTAAATTTTTAATTTCCGCGAGCTGTGTTCGTTCGATTATCGATATTTTGTTTTTATTGTAATTGGAAACATATGTTTATTATGTGCTTGCATTAGAAGCCAATTTCGATTAGTAGTTTGTTATTGACAACAGAAAAGGTTAGTCACGTTTTAGTGTGCTCTTCGATTTTTGACTTTTTAAAGATATGAATTAAGGAATTTGTATTACATTTTGCGTTAAAAATGGAACAAAGTGCTCCAAGGCTCAAGAAAAGTGTTTTAAGTGGTACAAGCGCTTTACAGAAGGCCGAGATAACGATGAGTATCTTGGAGGTGCGACCACGTCAACAAGCAAAGAAAACATCGAAACAGCGAAAAAAATTGTTCTTGAAAATCGTTGAATCATTATTAGGGAAGTTGCAGAGGATGTTGGCATATCAATGTTTTGGACATGAAACGTGTGGCACCGAAGTTCCGAAATTACTAAATATTGAGCAAAAGCAATGTCGCTTAGTATCGCTTAGGTGGTAACTTTTTGCTCAAAAACAAAACCCAAAAAATTTTAAATTCTCCTTATCCTTTGAATATACCTTATATATATATTTATATGTTCAATTTCATATATTGTATATCTATATATAGGTATATAAATGAAATCCGTTTCTCGTTGTCACGCCATAACTTGAGAACGGCTAGACCGATTTGGCTGTTTTTTTTTTTTGTAGTTTTCTAATACTCTGTAGAAGGTTATTAGAAATATTAAGAAAATGTCTCAGAAAGATTGAAAATACATTTAATTTTGCATATTTTAAAAAACGCGCGTAACGAATGTCATCGTAATTCACTATATTGAAAGAGCATCGTTTGTTTGAAAATGTGGTTGCTGAATTAAATTCTATCGCACTAATTTACTAATTTTTGAAAATTACTCGCCACAATTAAATGTACCGACTTTGACGGTAATATTAATAATACCAAGGATGATTTCATTTAAATGTAAGTATTTAATGATAATAATATATGTATACTATGAGTTAGATTTCAGAATAGAAGTTAGATTTCATATACTAACCGCAACTAAATACGAAATGCCCTAAACTTCCAGCCAATTTCAGCCATATTGTACACGGACAAAATTAATTTATTGCCCGTATTTTCCCAGTCGCAGAAAATAATTATTTAAATCCTATTCGGTAATCGAGCTATATAGACAGAAAAAAATGCTGAAATTAGTTTTGATAATAACATTTTACTAAATTAAACTGCTTACTCAATATAATTTAATTATTCCTTAGCCACAGCAAGGCGTGGCCGGGGTCTTCTAGTACATTAATAAAACTGCTTGAAAATAAGTTCTCAAGTATACCTGAGAAATGTAGAAAATTAATGTAATCAGCTCTTTTATTTCTCTGCTGCCAATATATCCTATATAATGATTTTCGACTTTCCACCTGACTTCAAACCGTTTATGTTGGTCAAAATGATTTGAAAATTAGAATAATTTTTGGCCAATTTTCGCTGACCAGAAGTTAAATATAGCAATAAAACTAAGTGATTTGCTAGTTGAAAGAGTATAATATGTTCGGCTACACTTGAAATTGGCCCTTCCTTACTTATTTTGAATTTGAACTTTTCTAAAAATGTCTATATGATGGAAAACATAAAATTATGACAGAAGTGCTTAAAGTGTTTGGTGTGTTCAGTGCACCATCGTAATATATTACAGAACACCACATAATTTCAATGGTTCCTGAACACTATTGTACTGAACTATATTTGCTTTAGAACAAGCAAGCGGTTGACACACATATGGTTTCCGTAGCATACAACAATATGTACGACGGGTCTGTCTTTGACAATATAGACTAAATAAATAAAATAAAAGTTCTGAGAAAAAAATGTTAATACATCGTAAATTATCAAATATGTAAGTATTTTTAGTGCAAGTAAACAAGTAAAATTAGTGCAATAATTGCAAACGAAAAATGTATATAGTATGTATGTTCTTATATATTACTTTTACGGTATATTTTGTTATTTTTGAAAAATAAAATTTAATCTTTATTTTAATACCTCCCGAATCCGCGGGTGAACGGTCTTTTTTACGTTTTTTCTTTTTCGAAACATAGCCGTAGTTGTCCCGTGCGCTCCACCCTGGATATAATTCCATATGTAATTGGCGCTCTTGTCGCGCCTTTTCGTAATATTTACTTTGCTCTTCACGGCTAAGTTCATGCCACTATTGTTACAGAATTGTAAGAGTATGTTGGTAGTGTTGATGCGCCGTAGGTAATAATGCGATAGATCGTTGTAATTATTTTGGTTTTTCATGGTGTTAGATGTGATATATGTGTGGATCCAACCAAAGCCAAATTTCGACGAATACATTTTGGAACAGAAAATAAAAGCAAAAAACGAAAACAAAAGAATCGTTTCAATTTTGATATATTAATTTATTTGCTTGTGGAATTTTGAAAATCAAAATTTTACGAATTCAATTATTGATTTAAATGAAAAAAGCTATATATGTACGTCGACACACATACACATCATTTCCAAGTATATTTGTATATGTGCATATTTGTGTGAGGGACTGTGCTAGAGTGAGTAATTCCAATCCCGTTTTTTTATGCTATTGAACGCTTCGTCTTTCTACATAGGTATGTACCTAAGCCGTCTGCTTAATTACGTTTTTGGATTTTTAATCTATATTATTATTATAATTATTTGTCTGTTAAGCCGAGTAGTTGAATATTTTCTATTACAGCATATGAAAATTCCTTCGCTTAATTATTAATTTAATTTATTTATTTGAAAATTCAAAATATATTTTTTCCGATTACAGTTTGTTAAAGAGAGTCCAATAAATATAAAAGAAAAAACAAAGTTGCAAAACAAAACGTCTATTTTACTGACTTTCCAACAAAATAATTCGCTCATATTGAGCGAAAGCAGAAATATATTAAATACTTTACATATGTATAAAAAAAAATCCTTTATGGTGCTTCCAGCCAACTGGATAATTTTATTAATAATTTTAAATTTTTATACTATTGTAGCAATTACCAATATTTACTATTTTACTTCAGTGCTTCCAGCAAGGGCAAACACATACACATTGTGCATTTTTCATTCTAAACTTAAGCCCCTATTACGGTTTTCATTGGTTATTTTTCGGTTGAAATGTTGTCAAACTTCAACTTTATTACGGGTTTTAACTCTGTGCCAGTGGGATTGGCTTGAAAATCAAAAATTACAACTGCTTGGAAAGAGTACGAAGGCTTTTTTGTATGGGCAGCATATCAGTTTTGTCGTTAAGTTTAATAATTATTCAACTTTTCGTGCGCAATAATTGAATAGAATTGTTTTGATTTTTCGTTTAAATATGTTCAGATGTTTAATTATCTGTTAAATCTTCCGTTTCTAGGTTGGCCACACCAATGAAACTTCGATTGAAAATAGTTGAAGTTCGTTATACCAAACAAAATAGAGTTTGGTTGATCTAATATTGAATATTGTTGAATTTCTATAAATTCAATTCAGCTGATTGGAGTTGAAAACCATAATAGGGTTTATACAGACTGCCTTAACAGACTTGTAAACGCAGTGGTTCTGTCCAACAAGAAAAAATGCTTACCCTTAAATTGCATTTTATTACCATATTAGGTAATTGAGAGCGCTAAGTCTAGTATTTAGTAGAAAAAGTTGCAAGATTGAGCCGTCTTTCACTATATCTCGAACTAAATCTTAGTAACCAAAGTAAATTTAAGATTTACGCTTAAAAGTTTTCTAGTGCCGAGTTAGATATGAGATATTACAAATAAGACAGAAAAGCGCGTCAAGGGAAATCGATTGTTGTGTCAACCAGTAAGGCGTATCTGAATTAGCATACACTAAATTCAAAACCCGAATTCAGTCGGTGTCAAAGCAAATACTGCGCAGGTGTAAACAGTCATTCACCAGAAATATGCAGTATATACTACCGGGACCATTTCAAATACATTTTGACACAAGTGTCAACGAGTGACGAGTGACGGTTGACGCATATCGACATTTATGTTTATTTAAATTGTTTTCATTTCTGAATTACATATTTTCCTTGATTAAAAAATTATTTTTTTATGTTTCAGGTCCCGGTGTTGAAGTCTTAGAAAAATGGCTTGATAATTCTCATAGTTAGTTAAAAATAAAGCATGTTATTCTCTATGCAAGATTTAAACAGATAGTGAAATGCATTTCAACAGAGATTAATTATTTTTTAATTTGCTCAATTGATATTTAATTATCTCTTGCACTATTTATTTTTTTTGCTTTATTATATTACAAGTTATATACTCGAAAGTATTGCATATATTATTTATAAAGGTTTGTTTTGTACTTATCCGGCTTACCCTTCTACCAAGTATTTGATTTATCGCAGCTGATTCTTTCAATGTGCACTCGGCAACAACTTTGGCTCGCATCTCTTTCATATAGAGCATGAACGCATTCAGTGGCTTTTTGATATGCGGTTTCTTCTTCTCATTCGAATTGTCTTTGCACTCATTTCCTTGAGGATTAGCCGTTGATATTTTACTATCCAAGTTTCTGTAAATAAAAAGTGCAATTCATATTTGCAAATAGATATTAACTAAATAATTAATATTCGACAAGTTTATGCAAATAAAATAAACTAATATAAGGATGAAGAAATACTTAGCTACTTAGCCTACTCCAAGCGTTAAGGCTGGATTTCCGACAAGTACAGTGCTTACTAGTTTTAGCTGATTTCAACTGAATATTCTTAAATAAGATGAAATTCAGTCATCAAATGTTGGATTGCAATTTTTTGAAGTAAAAAATTTTAGATTAAAAATGAGATTATCAAATTTTAACTCCAATATCGGAATTAACCATATTGTTGGAATAAAAAACAACAAATCTTATGATCTGAATAATGATGAATAATCTCTAATTTAAGATGTTGATGAATTGAAATTTTTTTTTATTGTAATTATAACTATTGGGATTATTTTTTCATTTTTACATCCGGTATTTGCGTATTAAAAATTAGAAATAAAATAAATTTTTAATCCCGTATTTGAGATTACTTTTTTTTCAATTCAATATTTGAGATTAAAGATTAGAAACAAAATAAATTTTTAACCCGTATTTGGGTTTACATAATACAAAATGTAATTTAATTATTTTTTAATGCATTATTTGCAACCCTGTGTGTAGATAAGGGACGGTTATTGGTATCATCAAAAACGAGTTTGCTTTACCTAATCGTCGAACTCGAATAACGGGCTCGAAGTGAAAACTGATCTCTTACAAAGATAATTTAGAATGAAAGAGACATTGTGCGCTAACAAAGAAACGAAACTGGATAAAAATAAATAAATATTTTTGTAATAAATTATAAAAGTATACAAGGAAACCATTACGTTTGCTTTGCTTTTCTGCGTATGCTTAAATCATACGGTCCATCTGTAAGGGATGCGCGGGCAGCCGCCGAAATACCCACTGTAGCATTCATTACTGCGGCAGCCGTTAGTGCGTTAAAACGTGCCTTAAAAATATCGGTAAAAGTGCGTTCCTGCAATGCCGCCACTGCTGCTGTAGATGTTTCGCTGTTAGTATTAGATGATGGACCATGTAGTCCATATAAACAACCGCTACCGCTACCGCCAGCGCTGCTGCTGCTGCAACTACTGAACGCTGCCTGCTGTTGTTGTGGCTGATGAAGCGTATACTGTTGTAGGTGCTGCTGATTTTTTTTTTTATGGCCAATATTTTCTGCCACAGAAGTTGTAACTGGTGCTTCCGAAGTTGCCTGAATAACTTGCAAGGTCTCAAGTTTTTTACTTGGTTCGATTTTGTTGCACATGTTTTTATCGCTAGTATTGTTGTAGGCAATATCGCCGCTGTTGTTGATGCTGTAGCGTTGTCTAAGCGTATGCGAATTCGATTGTTCATAAAAAAAAGCGTTTTTATGAGTTAAGTTTGCAGTTGTAGCTGCAGGACTGGTTGATGTTTCCAAGTGACGAGCATAATTTACTTTGCGACGATTTTTTCCAACATTAGCAGCACTTATATTGGGCGGCGTCGGTGTAGTAGTTGGCGTAGACGTTGGTGTCAGCATGGTAGGAGAATTTGTAGCATTCGAGGGCATGGGCGAGTCTGTAGGTGTAGGTTGTATTTCTTTTTTTTCAGTATTTCCATCCCTGATTACTCCAGTGTCATGATCGCCATTACAGGAACCTAAGCGCGTATTTACAACTCTTCTTAATAGTAAGCCTTGAAATGTTTCACCGTTTGTAGTCGTATGTTCAGGATTATCAGCTATTCCATCACGTTCACATTCATGTGTAGTGGTGGACATTTTTTCACCAGCCATTGTATTAACTACACTAGAGGGATCTTGCATATTCGGCTGAACACTTAATGCTGCACATTCCAGTATAATTTCGGCAGCAGAAAGCACGCCTTCATTTAAGCTCAGCCCACGATTATCTGGATGCCAAAAGCAGATGGGAGACGATGCCTCCAACAGTCGCCAGTTTGCATTGCTGCCAACCGTGAAGGGGGGTGATGGTTTATTACCACGCTTTAAATTCGCATTGCATTCAATTTCATATTCACCATCATCACTATTTCCTCTTTCTGGAGAACTGTAAACAGGAGCCTTTGCGTTGTCATAATTATCATTAGACCTCGTCTCGAAGTCATTACCAATAACCTCTTTAGCAACTGCGTCGGCATCTTCACTATTTTTGCATACCATCTTAACGTATCGCTCAATAACAGTCTCTACTTCCAACAATGTCTGACGTGTATCTAATGCACGCCCGCAATCTTTATCGGTCAGCTCGCTTTTACCGCTAATAGAACTCTCCGTTTTAACATAAGTGTTTGACGGCAGTGGCTGTAAATCCGACGCAGCCGCCATTGCTGCAATTACTGCTGCACGAGTCACAATGTTATTCGTACACCAGGAGGATGAATATGTGGAGGGTTTCTGACGCGCATGTAGCTGTGATAGAAACTTAGAATCGCTTGTATACAGCCGATGCATCGTTCGCTCGTAATAAAACTTTGCGCTGGCGCATTGCCGCCTAAGTAAACTCAACTGCGCCTGTGTTGAATGAATTAATTGTTTAGATTGCTGCATATTCTCCCACACGCGTGGTACAATGTGCGCAGTAAGTTTGTCAGATATTGTTAAATTATTTTGTGTGAGCTCAATAAACTGATTGCTAAGCCCTAAATACTTATCAAGTTGTATTTGGGCTTGCGTGAGGGCCGCCTCTTGTGCAGATAAAAGCTCAGTACCGCTCAGATTTGTACTAGTTGGAGTTCTGTTCGTCGTTATGCGACTAATCCTGTCAGCGCTGCTGATGTCGGTGAGTAAATTGGGTTTACTCGTGCATGAGTGTGCTTTGTTTTCTTTTGGAGAAAGACTTACGATATCAAACGCTGAGTTGTTGTTGCTATCACTGGTGGAAGGTAGTGTACCGCTTGCAAGCGTGTTTAGCTTCGAAATATTGGGAGTGCAGTCTATCATATGGAGATCCCGTTCTCTCAAATGATCGGCCAACGGTAATATACGCGAATACAGAAATTGTGTAGCTAATAAATCATTGGAAGCTTGTTGCTGTTGCTGTGGCGATGCCGCAGTTATTTGCTGATGTTCGCGCTGTGTTGCTGGTTCGTTGTTAGATTTTAAAAAAATTTGATCTTTACATTCATCAGTTGAATCGCCAATTAGATCCGCCGTCACTCCGAAAGTAGACTGTTTCGAAAACGAATTGTTACTGTTATTATTTTTAGTATTATCAATGATTGGCATTGGTGCCAGTGACAGCGGTAACGGCAGCGGCTGTGGAAGGGACATGGACAAAGGAAGCGGCAATTGGAAAGGAAAAGGGAGTGCCAGAGGCGCTGACAGTGGAGTTGCCGTCGGCAACTTATTCATGTGCAGTTGATCCTTCTGTAAAGCAGTTGCAATATCAACGTTATTTGCAGCCGACGTGAGTAGTTGTGATTGCTGTTTGTGCTGATAGTCTTGTTGGCGCAAAAGTATTTCCGTTAGCCAATTAAGTGCCGCGTTAGGTACGTTTAACTGTTTGGTGGCCTCGTTAGAGGGTAAAGTAGAGCGTGCACTTTGCACACTTAAATCAACATCGTGCTTTTCTTTTGCATCATCTAACACATCGTTGCCATGCTCCAAACGGTTGCTTGATTTGTTGAGCCCGCCAATATCTTCGGCATCGACATGGTAGGAGCTTACCGCACTAGTTGATGAATAACATTTTGGTATAACCAGATCTGTAGTAAAGAGTTTAGCTAGGAGCTGGCTCTCTTTTTCATACAAAAAAGTTGAACTGCTGACAGGAATCATACAATCGTTAGGTGCTGGAAATTTCTCTTGCCCAACAGTTACCTCATTAGGACCAATATTTTTCTGCACGGCCACAACGTTTGTACTTTCTTGCGACAAACGCATGTCAGGTGGCAACAAATGTTTAAACATGCTCTTCGATAGCTCATCATTAAACAACACATCAAGGACTGGGATATTTCTTCGCGCTTCCGCTTTGACGACATTAGTGTCTCCCGATGTAACACATACAGCTCCACTGACACTCATGCTGCCACCACTACGATGACTTAAATCGGTAGTATTAAAAGATGAATCTCTCTCGCCTTTTTGTTTACTATTTACCGTCAGGTGCTCTGTATTTGTGGCATCAGTTTTTATATCTAATATTACTTCATTGTTAGCTTGAATTTCATAAGTTGGCGAATATTCTTGTTGCTGCTGGTGGTGGTGATAATCTTGGGAAATAAGTTCAATGGGTGTTGCTTGTTTTTTAATGTCATGCTCAAAATACGTGTGATTAGTGAGCAATTGATGGGTATTGTCTTCGTGGCCAGGAGGTCCCTTCAAATCCGATGAACTGAGAAGCTTTTCTTCGACAAGCTGTTTATTTGTACGATTGCTACCGCATGGGTACATGTGGTTACCATCGACTACGACTTCTGAAAAAGACTGACTCTGCACCGGTGATGTTGCGACTTTTCGGCTGCCATCCTGAGAAGAGTGCATATCTACTAAAATTGGTAAAACATCGACCGATAGGTAAGAATTTGATGTATCACATGCTGGGACTACTTGGTCAACACTATTACTAACAGAGGATTTGTTCTGCTGTTTTTGTACGTTATTACTTGATTTACTAATTTTATCAATGTTATTGTTTTTGATGCTATCAATCGCAGGCATAACATATTCGGTGGTTCCAACTAATAACGTATGTGCAGCCATAGGCACGGGATCAGAGCAGAATCGTTCTAAGGGATTTACAGCTGACTGTGACTGTGTGGTTGTTGCATTTGTGTCTGTTCCGTTAAGTAAAATTGGTGACAGCGTTGACGAAGGTGGAAAAACAGCAGCACCTGTATGCACAGGAGCTTTTATCAGTTTTTCCAATGTTAATTGCTGTTGTAATATCGACGACATTAGACCAGTTGAACGCCTTTATAATTCGTTTAATATTATATTACACTTTAATTTTAAGACTGGTGGTTCTAGTAGTATTTGA